GAATATGAGGAACATCATGAAGTCTGAATGTTTCAGTAAAGCTCTAAATCAAACGGCTCATAACTGCAGATAAAATCTTCACCTGTACGTCATAAATCTGACACAGATCCCATCGCCCCCCACAGCGTGCAGGTGCGGGGGCCGCGGGTCAGAGGAACTTGTTTTGAATGAAGCACAGCGAGAGAAGAGAGAGAGGAATATCATCACTGTGAGGCGGTGCTCTCCTCGGTGCTGTACTGCTACTTAATGTTGATATCAGGGCTGTGAGTGTTTTACAGGGACAGGAAGCAGAGAGAAGATTCAGCTCCAGCGCTCAGACTCGAAATAAAAATCACACTACAGACGTCATGGTAAATAAAAATATTTCAGTTTTGTGGGGCTGAACTTTGCTGAACTTTGTAATAATAAGAGTGCAGTAAAGACCTTAGGGAGCTTGTTTTGGAACAGAGTTTAGCAGTAGCTGCTCTGTTTAACTAAACGCTGTATCTTCATAACAGTCAGCTGAAAACTCTCTACTTAGAGGCCGAGTTGCTGAAACACACACAGGTTGAGGTGCAAAGACAGAAAACCTGTGCAGGTCTGAGTCCAAAAGCAGCTTAATACTGTTTTTAACTTAAAAAATCATCTAATGATGTTTTATCAGCTGTGATCTCCAGCTCTGAGTTCCAGTGTTAAATCTCACCTCATGTCACATAATCCATTACCGCACCATATTTACATTAATATAGTCATCACGCCTCATCATAGCTCTGTATGACATTCTGACTGATGTAAATTAGTACAAATAAAAATTAAAAATTAAATAAACATCAAAATCAAATGTAAAAAAGGGAAGTTATTTTGCACAACATTCTCGGTCACATCAAATACCGCCTAAAATATCAGCACCCCTAACACCTTCCCACGTCCACGGCAGACACAACAGCTGAAAACAACTAATGTCAATAAAACCAGTGACTTTATTAAGTTATTTGTTTTTTTAAGGTTATAAAACATCATCAGGCTGTGTTCTGGTAGTTTTACTCTGGACGCTGAAATCTGCTTGTGTTTTGGTGAGAAACTGAGTCAGAACTGCTCACAGTGGTGGTGATAGGAACCAGACGTCCACCTCTAAAAGCTCCCTCACAGAAAGTTCCTACATGAAATGGTTATGAATTCACTGCCTGATGACTGAGACACTATTTTATGATAGTTTTGATACAAACTATTATTTATTTTTTTTTAAATTCAGATTTATCACTATTTTTTAAATTAATGGGAAACTCTGAAAAATGGGTGGAATTGCCCTCTGATATTAGACAAGCTTAATAACAAAACTTTTGACTCAGAGGGCGAATGAAGACACACAGTTTAAACAAACTCTGTGTGTGTGTGTGTGTGTGTATATGAGAGGGTGTGAAGTGACACTCAGCACATCTGCTCCTCATTAATATTCATTAATAATTCAGAAACCTTTAAACGGCAGTTTGTCACAAATACTGAGCACAGATCACTGAAACCAACACCGAGAGAGAGAGACAGACAGAGAGAGAGAGAGAACGAGAGAGAGAGAGAGAGAGAGAGAAGAGAAAGAGAGAGAGAGAGAGAGAGAGAGAGAGAGAGAGAGAGACAGAGAAAGACAGATACAGAGAGAGAGAGAGAGAGAGAGAGGAGGGAGATGGAGAGAGAGAGAGAGGAGGGAGATGGAGAGAGAGAGAGAGGAGGGAGAGAACAGAGAGAGAGAGAGAAAAAGGAGTGAGAGAGAGAAGAGGAAGAAAAGAGAGACAGGAGGGAGGGAGACACTGTTTTCTTTTATAAACTCGCGTAGGAAGAAACTTTTCCCTCCTCAGTGTTTTCGGCTCTGTACGCTTGGGATCGTGATGAACCGACATACGAGCAGTTAAATTAATGTTACCACAGATTGAAATTATTTTCAGTGTTTCTGCACTTTCACTTTAAAGATTCTGCCATAGCATTCACAACTCTCACTGAAAGGAAAGCTCCACCAATTTTTCAAAATTTTAAAAGAACTGTAATCAAATAGTTAAGATGTAATCAGTGTGGTTTTAGAGTGGTTCAGAGCGGTTTGGTTTCTAGAGAAACTTACCGAGTCAGAATTGTTCAGTGGTAAAGAACTTAAACTCCACTCATGGTGGAGGGATACATGCAGGGTGCTGTGAGGCAAAATAGTCCCCAAAGAAAACTTTTCAGATTTTCCACTATTTTCCATCTTCAACATTCCATATAAACTCAGAAGACTCGTGTAGGTTCACTGGTGGTTCTGGATAGTAAATAAAATGTCTATATCTGTGTTGTAGTCATGGCGACCCCTGGTTCCCATCACCACCACTGTAAAGACATCTGAACCACTTCACACCAAACCACTCTGAATCACTCTGATTACATCTCACACACTGAGTTATGGGGGAATTTTGGAAAATGGGTGGATTTCCCCTCTATGTACAATGTCCCTGGACTTTTTAGTAAAAAGAAAAATGATCATCCAAACACAGCTTTTGATTTTTTTTGTGAGTACAAAACTTTATTCTGAAGTCATATCAAAGTCTCCTAAATAAACAAAAAACAAAACAAAAACAAAAACAATCTCACACAGTTGACCCCCCAATCACTAAACCACTAAACACCTCCAAAACAACAGCACCGTTACAGCCAGTCCACCGCAGGCAATCCTGATCTCCCACATCCGAACCACTGAGCTTCATCAACACCGTAGTATCATGTTAATATGATGTATCGGTTCCTCTGTTCCTCTAGAACCTCAGATTGCCTGGTGTCGCAGCATAAAGGTGGACAGTCTATTTGCCGGTGATGAGAGGGTTCCTCAGAACCACGATGACCGAGTCTCCTCTCAGGAACATCTTGGAGATGTAGCGATCCTTATTGACCGGTTTGGACTTCTTCTTGCCTTTGCCGCTCTTGGGAACCTCCGTCCACATCTCCTTCACGTTCTCCAGAACCATGTTACAGTGCCTGAAACGACACAGACAAAGTGAGGAACCGCAGTACACAACATGACCCACAGGGTTAAACTCCACACAAATCTATTTACCTCTGAGGGCGTGTATATTTTCGGGAACCTTGCGGCTGGAATGTCCTCACGCTCACGATAAATTCAACGATGGCAGCTTAGCTACTTGATATGAAACAGGAAGCTGTATATTGTCCAGAAGTGACAATGTGTTGTTTTATAGGATCCGACTTATTATCTAGCACAAGAAAAAGTGAGGGAGGGTGAATCCTCACCGTCAAAGAAGAGAAAAGATGAAGAAGTAAAATGAAAACCTGATGGCCACCGTAGGCTCTACTACACGCAGGGAAAGGGAGGGGTGAGGGAGGGGGATTCAGCTGGGTGCAAATCTGCAACCTCACCACTAGATGCCACTAAATCTTACACACTGCACCTTTAATATTTATGTTCTTGAATCATTATTTAATCTGAATGATAAACAGGGCACTTTATGAGAATCACTGCAAGAGAGGCGGCACTCTGTCTGATCCGACTCATCAGATGTCAGAAGAAATAAATATCGTGATAAATTGTGTATTGTGAAATCATGATTACATTTTTACTGTATCGTCCATCTCCACGATACAGTCTGTAGCACACGAAGAAATGAATCAATTCATTAAAACTGGCTACAGAAGTTGTTCAGTACATCAGGGCTGCCTGAAGTGTGGCCTGTTAGGATGTTCGATTTGGCCCTCCAGAGTTACCCTAACCCAGAGATCGGCAACATGCGGCTCTTTTACTGTCCTGTTGCTCCACAGCAGAATCAGATTTGTCCTTAAAAATAAAATCATCCTCCTTTACAGTTAATGGGGCAGTCGTGGGCTGGAGGTTAGGGAACCAGTTACCGGAAGGTTCAATCCCCTTGGCCGACAGTACGAGCAAGGCACCTAACCCCCACCTGCTCCCCGGGTACCGTGGATAGGGCTGCCCTCCGCTCCGGGCAAGTGTGCTCACTGCCCCCTACTGTGTGTGTGTTCACTAGTGTGCATGTGGGTGTTTCACTGCACGGATGGGTTAAATGCGGAGGTCTAATTCCGATGTGTTCAGACACAGTTCTAATGGTTCTGAATTCTGAATGTAGAACTGCTAATTCACCCTTTAACGCTGAACATCAGCGCAGACTGCTGGTCACCATAGCAACACAGACAACCGTCTCGCCTAGCTAGTAGCTAACACAACAGCAAAGAGAGAGATTTAAGACGAACATCGATAATTTGGAGACAAATGGACTTGACGCGTTTAATCTGCGGTGAGAAACTGACAAACACTAAAAAGTCACAAAGCTGAAGTTTCTCATTCACCAGCTTCTTGTTCGAATTTTCACGTTCCACCTTAAATGGTGCAGCAGTTACCTACATAGTTAGCTACACTCTGGCTCCTCAGGCATCTTTTAAGGTGGAACAAGAAAATTCGAAGAAGCTGGAGAATGAGAAGCCACTTCAACCTTGTAAAATGTCGAACATTAAGAGACATTTTACAAGAAAATATTCTACTTTTGTGGAAAAGTTTCCTGCTGGAGATGTGAGAAAAGCAGCTACAGCTGAGCTAAAGATTAAAGCAGAGCAGAGTAAGTCTGAGTTTTTGTTTTTATTATATTTTTTGGCCTCAAGGAAGTTTGTGCTCCCTGTTCCACACAGTCGGTCGTGAGGAGCGTAAATACCTGTCGAACGCCTTCACTCGGCCCAGCAGCTTCTTGTTGTTGCGGCAGTTGATGAGGACCTGCGTGTTGTTCTTGACGGACTGTGTGAGGACGGACAGCGGCCCGGTGTTGAACTCCTCCTCCTCTCGCTTCTGGAGCTCCTCAGGAGTCATCTCGGACTTCGGCTTGTTCAGAAGACTCCTGAAACAGTCTGAACAGAGCAGCTCAAATCCTTCAGACCATACTCACAATATATATTTAGTAATGAAATATGTAGTATTTTACTTTTTTAGTCAGCTTAAACCAACATTTAAACCACCTGACAAATGAAATCTGAATGTTTATGTATTTCTGCCTTGTTTTATTTGCTTGAGACGTATAAAACTCCATTTCCGTTTTACTCTATAATTGTATTTTATTGTATGACACTGTAAATAAAGCCTTGGTCTCACTGGCTTAACCTCCCCTGAGTACAATCCAAACGCGTCACCTGACCTTTAAAATACCATGAGAAACTATAACATTTCTACAGTACTATAATAATCCATAATCTATACTTGATATCTCTGTTTTTGTAGTGTATTTAAGAAAACTGTTTTTTTAACACTCTTTAAAAACACAAAATATATAACCTACAACCCTAAAACTCGGACTGGAACGAAGCTGCGGCTGGCTTCTTTTGGAATTGTCCGTTCCACCTTAAAGGCGCCATAATGTAACTGCACCATTTAAGGTGGAACGGACAATTCCAAAAGAGGCCTGATTTCGCTTCTCTCCGTCGCAAAATATCACATAAAGCCTGAAACACGCAGACTGGAACCAAAGCAGAGCCAGTTTCAGACCCAGTGCGGCGCTGTTTGTGATTATTAATGATGGTTTAACTGGTTTTGTTCTGTTTGACTGCGCTCCGTTTCTGCGCTCTGATGGCCCCACACTGTTATAACACTCACATTAGAGACAAACCAATAAACTCACATGATTTCGGCTCTAAATCCTCCTTTATTCTCCTTTATTCCGCTTTTATTCGGTTTTTGTCCGCAGAGCGAAACTCGCCGCCGCGCACGTTTATAAAACGCAGTGTAATGGCGCCGCTTCCGCCCCAATAAAAGACCTTCCGTGACTTTTATCTTTTTAAGTCGTATTAGGTTATTGTTTTTAACATTATTATTACTTTCATTTCATTATTATTTTTTTTAAATATATAATTTTTATTGTTTTGTTCGTTTCTTTTTTGGTCATCATATATCTTTTCATTTTTTTATTTTTTGTAAAAAAATTAAGTATTGCTTTAAATGGTAATCTGTAATTTTTTGTATTATTTCTGTATTTGATTTTTAACTTGTAATTTTTTTTCTTTTTATTTTTTCTCATATTTTATTTTTAATCTTTTTGAATGATTTGTTTTATAAGTTCTTTTCTTGAGTTGGAGCTTTTTTTTATATTTTATATTTCTTGTGGCATTGATCTTTATATTTTATAAAATAGTAAAACAAATTTTATTTATTGTTTGATTTTTATTTTTTATTATTTTTAAAATAGTTGTATTAGTTTAAAGGAGTAAAGTAATAGTTTACATGTTATCTGTTAAAGTTATTTTGCCATGCCCCCATACCGATTAATATGATCAGAAAAATGAACTAACCAGGTAAACAAGGTCAGTTTAGATTTCAGTTGGCTTTACTCAGTAAAAAAGAATTTTCAGTACTGATTTGCCATCAGGCCTGCAGTTTAGTCTGATATCCTGAAAACTGGGCTTTGTAGAACTGCAGTGGAACTTTAGAACATCCAGAATCTTTTAGCACAGGACCTGAAACCTGTACGGCTGTTTTTCTGTCTTCGGATCTTTTGGTCTAAAATAATGTAAAATAAAATAAAGAGCTCCAAAGTGATCAACAGTCAAACAGAACAGAGCTGAAGCAGCACACAGACTGATTAGTACTCACTAATATACATGAGTGGACATTTTAGTGTTAGAGTGGCATTTAGAGCAGTATTTTCATGATCACACACAGGAAGGACAGATCCATCAGAACTTTACTGAAGTACACAGAGCTGAACTGACTAACAACAACAACAACAACAACAACAACAATAATAATAATAATAATAATAATAGCAGAATTTAATAAGATCAGAATATGAAGTGTGAAATGTAAGAATGAGTCAGTCTCACTGTGTGTATGGTGTGTGTGTGTAGTGTGGTCTGACGGAAGGGTTAGAGTGTGTGTCTGTGTGTGTGTGTGCGTAGTGTGTATGGTGTGTTTGTTGTCACAGCACGAAAATTATTGATTAATTTATTAAACAAAGTTAATATGAAAACAGATTAACTCACAGCCCCTCAGGACACACAGATAATGAACTCTCTGTGTCTCTCTCCCTTTTCTCTCTCTCTTCCCACGTCATCTTTTTTCTTTCTTTCTCTCTTTTCTTTCCTCTCTCTCTCTCTCTCTCTCTCTCAGTGTAATCAGAGCTCCTCTTTATTTGTGAGAGACGCTGCTGATCGATCTCAGGGGGAGAATCTGATACAGTGTTGGGGGTGTGAATCTTTGGTCCAGTCAGAAACTGAAGCATACAGACCCAAAGTGAATAATAATAATAAAAATAATGATAATGATAATAATAATGATCATAATCATAATGTAAAGGCACTAAAGCTCCCTTCACAGCTGCTCTTTTACTCTGTAATTTGATGTTAATCAATCAGGAGTTTTAATTAAACACTGTGAACAAATGCTGCAGCTGAAATCCCAGCAGAGCTGACTCAGCAACTCACCTGCACAGGAAACCACACAGAGCAATCACTGTTCACCAGTGAAGAGACTCTGACTGTCAGAAGTGCACTGAACACATTAATAAACACATTAATCATCAGTTACGAGACTAAATGATCAATAAATGGATTAAATTACTAGTTATCACGTGAAATCATCGATAATAAAATCAGCCGGCCAATCAGGAATCAGACTGCAGAAATCATGATCGAATAATATTTTCAGAAAAATCCTGGAAAACGTTGTGTAAATAATTCATGCATCCTATAAAAACTGCAAAATTCTTATTGAAAAACTGCAAAACATCTTGTAATAATCCAATAAATATCCGGTAAATGTTGTATAAGATTCTTAGAAACATTCTGTAAAATGATTATAAAACATCTTGTAAACATCCTGTAAGATTCCTATAATCTTCTTTGAAACATGCTTTAAAAAATCTTTAAAATATCCTGTAAAATACCAATAAATGGAAAAATGCAGTAAAAGTCTCATAAAAATTCTTATGAACATTCCCTTAAAATTACAACAAACATCCTGCAAACATCCTCTACAATTCTTAAAAACATTCTGTAAAATTCCTATAAAAATCCTACAAAAATCTTTTAAAAATCCTGTAAAATTCACTCTTTGTTTATTACAAATGTGCTTTATGTAAATGTCTGATTAACTGAACTTTCCTGATCCCAAATCTAAATAATCAGAACAAAACACAGAACTCGCAAAAACATTTATTTCATACACATGAAACCAAATTCATTTTAGGTTCTAAATCTCATTTCACTGTGTGCAGGTTTAACAGGTTTCTGATTTCATCTGTAGTTATTTTTATTATTTGATAAAAATCTATTTTTAATTATGGAACCTCACTTTATATTTATATTAGCTTGTTACAAAGAGGTTACTGTCCACAGCAACAGTAGCACATTAAAATCACTGTGGTGAACTTGTAGTAAAATTGATGTTTCAGAGAAAAATTCAATCATCATGCAGTTTTGACAGAAAATGCATTTGTTATAAACTGTACAGTACAAAAGAAAAGAAGTTTCAGACATGCTCTGTTAGATTTCCTTCCATATTCAGTTTAATAATAATAATAATAATAATAACAATAATAATTTACAGTCTCTAATTAGACTTCTAAGTACAGTAGGGCCAATAGGAGCTGACGGTGTTGGGGTAAGTGTAAGGGGGGTAAAAGTGGGTGGGGTTAGTGTGGAACTGCTGCAGGATGCCTGTAGTAGGCGCTGTTTCCTCAAACAGCATGGCATCTTTCCTGGCACTGCAGCAACCTGCACCTCAGCAGAGCCATGGTGGGGCAGGATGGCCTTTACCGCCCATACCTGGACCTGGGGCCAGTGGGCTGGGCACTGCCCTGTTTGCATCCCCAGGGGGCGCAAACGAGGCAGTGCCCAGCCCACCTCCCCTAGGTCGGGCACCTACCCAGCTGTTGCCATGCTGGGATGCGGGCACCGGGTGCTGCAGTGCCAGGAAAGATGCCACTGGCCAGTAAAAGGAGCCAGAAAACGCAAGCCCCGCCTCCCGCTTAGCTAGCTTGGCTAGCTTAGCCCCATTAGCCGCTTGGCGCTGCGTTATCTTGCCCGGCCTCCCGCCGATAAAAACCTCGCTGCACGGGTCGAGCATCCAGTAGCTGCCTTTGCCCGGGTCGTCCTGTTGCCGTGGAACCCGGACGAAGCACTTGTTGAGGCTCAGGTTGTGGCGGATGGAGTTCTGCCAGCCCCGCCCCTTCCTGTCGTAGTAGGGAAACCGTGACGTGATGAAGTCGTAGATGCCGCTGAGCGTGAGTCGGCGCTGCGGGCTGTGAGCGAGCGCCATCACGATCAGGGCGCTGTAGCTGAACGGAGGCTTCTCTGCCGCAGCCTCCCCGCCCCCCTTCCGCTCGGCTCCGCCCCCCTTCCGCTCGGCTCCGCCTCCTCCTGTTTCGGAAAGTCCGGCTGATTTCGGAGCCCTGGGCAAAGACAGATATAAACATGAGTTGTGACGGAAGCTCCCGCCCACAGAGTCTGATTGACAGGCATGTTTCATCGACAGAGATGATACAACTAGTCTATCCAGGCTCCGCCCACAAATGCATTATGCTTTACAGCACATTAACTTCATTAGTTGTTGTGTAATTTCACAGCATCTGTGACGGAAACGTTTATACTACAGTTTTTTCATTTGGATTTAAAAATGTCGATATATAATTGTTACTGTAATATATAAAATGTTATTTATATAATCATATAAATATGATGAGGAAAACATTGGGGGTCAATCTCTGTAATTCAGCCATGCACAGTAGCCAGTGAAGTAGGCTACGGTGACATTCAGCCACAATCCACAGTGTGAATTTAGCAAAGGTATAAATAATCAGCGGAACTTCATGACGTTACTAAGCTAGCAATGTTACTAAATCCCCTCCGGTCACGTCAGTCATGATACAGTTATGCTATATTGTTAAGTAGCTATGATGTTAGCTAGTTAACAACATTAGTAAATCTATTACAGCATCCCTGACAGCAAGAGGCTACTGGACCACTGTCGGCCCGCCGATGGCAGAGCTGGCGGCCCACTGGCGTTTTTGCTCAGTGATTTCTGGCGGCCCACCGGTGGTTAAGCAGAGTATTAGACAAAATTCCTCTTATCATCACTCATTTTCACTCACAGTCCAGTTTACTGATTTTTCCTTCTTCTTTTCTTCAGTTACACTTTGTAAATTATTTTAGTAAATTATTTTAATCCAGCTCAGCGTCAGCAACACTTTCTATAGAATCATTTTATATCAGGTCTAGTCATTAATTTTCTCTCTCAGTTGTTCGTAATATTTGTCTTAATTTATTTCCTAAAATAAAAGTCTCTGTGCATTAAAAATCTGTCTGGGGAGATTAAAAACTAGGTATACCCTGTAAGCAGGACAGTAATCTGGATGGTCCCAGGGTGGACCAGCAGTGGCAAACAGTCAGTGGGGTGCCGACCTTATCAAGCAGGTGGACTGATATATCCTGGCTGTCTGGGATATCACTGCTGAACAAAACCTCGTATCTCTAAAATGATAACTTTACAGGAGAAGGAAACACTGACTTACATTAAAAGTTAGGTTTATGTAACCAGACTTTCCCCTCAGGAGTCTTGTGCTGTTTAATTTTCTCACACTCAGAACTGTTCACAGCGCTGTACGTCCACAATTTACTGCCTCACAGTGTCATTTGCAATTAAACACTTCAAATTTTGGGCTGGTTTCAGCTTCTGGTGGTCAGATTTTAAACACACTTTGGACTGGAGATTTTTATGGGACCTGGCAACCCTGAGTACTGTAGGCTAGCAATGACATTAACTTAGACAGGACATTAAAACAGCTGAAGCTGGTTGTTGACTTTCTGCTGAGCTTATCAATCAGACATTTATCCACAAAAACTCTGATTACACTCAGAGACGCAGGAGTCGTTTTGTTGGAGTGTTGAATCTCCTCACTTCACCGCTCGCTCACACCTGTCTGCCTTCACAGGTGTGTCGTCCCAAAATCCCCCTCAGGGACCAATAAAGTACACCTGCCTATCCATCTACCTGTCAGTCTGTCACAGAGTCAGTCTGGGCTGGATTTGGGCTGCACTGAATGTCCTGAAATTAATCCTTATAAAAGCAAATAACAGACATTTTCACACGTTTATATTTCGGCATAAACTATTTAAAGTGACAGTTCATCCCAAATTCAGTTTCCCCCTCTTTCAAATGTAGCTGATCAGCCGAGATGTTCGGTGTCTGAAGTTTACTTCTTTAGTTTTAACGCTGGAGCTATGAGGCTAATATGGTTAACAAGTAATGGAAGCCTATAACCACCAATTAGCATGGTGCTAACTGCATGCTAAATCATTATAGACGTGTCTCAATTGTGCTCGTGAGGTTGGTTTCCTTTTTGACAGCTTTCTATGTGAACTATGTGAGCAGTTATTCCTGCACCATTTAAGGTGGAACGGAAAACTCAGATAAGAAGCTGACTTTAACATCTCTTCATATATGGAGTGTCTGTATGGGACCCCTGGCCCCTGGGGGTCCGAAAGCACTCTCCTACCTTTGCCCGCCATAACATCCACCCCTGTTCAAGTCTCTCTCTCTCTCTTTCTCGCCCTCAGTCCGTCGCTCCAGCAGGCTGCGGATGCTGAATGGGTGCAGAACTCTTTCGGGGGTCTCCCGGTCCTCCATGTCCATCACCTCCTCCTCCTCCCCCCCACCACAGGTCAAGTGGCGCAAAATTACAAATAAAACCTCAAAGCTTACAAATAAAAATAAAGCAGTTTAAGCTCAAAATCACTGAAGCTGTTCATTTTGTCCTCCTGCTGCTCTGAACTGAGCTCTGAACTCTAAAGCTCCACTACAACCCCAGATCATGAATAATTCATTACCACATGCTGGCCACGCCTCTTTCTGCCCCACCCCTCTCTGACTGCCCCCTAGAGGGTGGAAAAAATTAACACCCAGAATGAAGTTCTAATACAAATTGTAAGAAAATTAATTTCAGAAGGAAGTTTAAATAAAATTAATATCCAGAATGAATTTGTAATACAATTAATATTAATATTATAACAAATAACCAGAATGTTTTGTATTTGAAAAATGATAAAATCTCAGATTATTTACAGTAATTTCTTGATAAATATTTTTATTATTATCTATCATAATTTAATAACATCTTGTTCCCAAAAAAACTTAAAATATTGAGTTAAACAGCTTCAAAAGGTTCTTCACACTCCAATGTTTTTTTTAAACATAGTTCTTTAGGGGACCAAAAACAGTTCCTCTATGTCAGAGGTCACCGGTCCTCCTCCTGGAGATCTACTGTCCTTCACGTTTCACCTCCAACCTGATCCCAGCTCAGCCCGTCTAACTGACCACGGACGTCTGAGGGTGATACAGACGGTCAGGTGGGTCGAGCAGTGCTGAGGTCTGCAGGAAGGTGGATCTCCAGGAGCAGCGCTGGTGACCGCTATTCCACAGCATCGCTCGGAGAACCCTCTGTGGCGTCTTCTGTCATTCACACACACAGAAAATCAAAGCTTGTGTTTTTAGTGCAGCATCTTTAATAAAAAAAAGTAAAACAGCATTTAATATTACAAAACTCAGAGTCTCCGTCTGCAGAGTGGACTCGGTCCTGAAGTTCATGACTGACAATAAACCTTCACACCTCCAGCATCAGGAGCCACAGCAAAGCAGAACCTTCATCCTCCACCGTCCTCCTCCTCACTCTGTCCATCTGTGTCCACAGTGTGGCGCCGTGCACACATAGTACAGCCGCATAGCGTCCTGCAGCACACGTTACAGAGAACACACACCGTCAGACATCACACACTCTGACGCTTCACACACACAGAGGAACTAAATCTCACACACACCTGCAGAGCTGAGATACACTCATTTATATTATTATTATTATTTTTTTATTATTATGTTTATCTATTTTAAAACCAACATACAGCACAATCCAGAAGTTTCTGTCAAGTCTTTTTAATGGTTTGTAAACTATCGGGTTAATTTAGACTAAATTTCTGGTTATAAAGAAATTTATCGAAAAATGATTGTTGTAGATCATCTTCAGACAAAGTTATTAATGAGCATGAAACAATCAGCGTGCGCTCATCCTAATCAATAACCTCACATGAACAAATCACGTTCTATCACGTTTCTATTAATATCTTATGATGATCCAGCTCAGAAATCCAGTTCAAACACTTCCTGAATCTGTAGAGTCGCCCTTTCCATTCCATCTTATCACGAGATCATACGAGACTCACATCCGGAGTTATGAGCCTATGAAGAGGGGCTGAGATACACGTCATCTGCCTCTCACCGTGTGGAACTGGTGGATTCGTGTGTCCGTCTAAATTCTGTGTGGAACTGACCGATGGACACTCAGGATATCACTAAGGACTGACCATCACGCCGGTTCATTCAGTCCACATCGGAGACTCATGTGAAATGGCGTGCAGAGAGTTTACAGCTGCTGAAGCGGGTTTGGAAAGTAGTGATGAGGAGAACATTTATCTACCATTTTATTCATACATTCCACGACTTCTGAGATCCTGAGACTTTGATAAACACATTTCAACACCAAAACAATTCGTCCACATCAGTAAAGCTGTTTCCACAAGAGATATTACGAATTTCTAAAACCGGACTTTTTTTCAGCTCCAGGGCTGAATTATCTCTGTACACAGAGCTGCAGGTCAAAAGGGCCTCATTACAGAGGGAGCTGAGATCGTACCGAACATTTTGATATATAATATGTGGGTACTGTTTCGTATACAAGAGCCTTTAAAGGTGAATTTAAGAATATATGCAAAAATCAAGAAAACGACCTCAGACGATTAATGAACAACAAACTGACCAGCAGAGCGGAGATCATCACTGAGATCGTTCACTCTGATCAGCTCTCAGCTTCATCACTACAGACCGAGGTGAAAAAGGGTCGGAGGCCTTTGCAGCATTTATAGACACTAACTTCAGATTCGGCGCTGTTGCCACGGTAACGCTGAACACAAGCACAGTGGGGAAAAAAAACACATGAATTCCGATCCGAGCTTGTCATCAGGTCACACGGCGTCAAATCAGACACGTATCCGATCTAGGAGCACTTATGAAAGTGGATCAGACCTGCTAATGTGAACGCAGTCTGGGGGTGTGTGTGCTGCTGTCACTGTACCTCAGCTTTCATGCTGTGAGACTGGAAGAACACCGCCTCCTTGTGGCCGCACCTGGAAACACAGACTCAATTAGAATACCGAACACATTCACATTTACTACACTTCTAACTCAGAAACACTGCAGAAGAGCTGAGCCTCTGATCCTACATGTATTTTAATATATATGAAATACATTTCAAACACAGTGCAGTCCATACTGGAATACGTTCCAAACACTAAAATGTATTTCAGAATATTTTGTCACAGGAACCAAATATTTTTTAAAAAATGCATTTATTTTAAAATGTGGAAATATTACACACAGAAATGTTCCATACAGAAATAACTGTGTGTAAATGTTTTTATCAAATCCATCTGAAAATGTATGAAAATCTCCAGAATCCTGTCTGATGCTCTTCACTGTCTGATACCTTTAGAAATGAATTTGTGTTCCAGTCTCTTCATTTGAAATCTGATCAAATGATCCTTTAACAGGACAGAAGCGAGTGTTGTGGGTATTGATACTCTGTGAAAATGCAGTTATGATCTGATATCTTGTTTATGTGAAATACATTGTGTGTGAGAGTCTGACTGCAGACGTACATGGTTAATGTAAAGTACAGTGCAGATCACAGAAGTCAGAACTGTTCGTTCAGCTCATGAATATTTAGTTATATCTGTAACATTTGCTAAAACGAAATAAAATTCAGAAATATAACAAATACAATTTTTAAAATTATATTTCAATCGGCATTTCAATAAAATTCATTTCAATAAAATTACAATCGCCATTTTTGGCGATTTTTATACACTGAAAAAATATTCTGATAAATACATTTGGAATTTATTTTTTTAAGTACACATCCTAACATTTCTTAAGAGCTTAACACAAATACTTCATATAGTGATTTGTGATACACAGGATGCATAATTAACTGTATTCATTGTTCTGAGGGTGTTTTAATACCTGCTGTGTTTTTGGGCCTCCTTAGTTCAGTTTGTTTAATCGTATATAAAACCAAATGCAGCGAGACGGCGCGAGTGCCAGACAGTCATATGTGTTAAATATGATGAAATATTTTTGCTGCATTTTCACTGGAGCTGAACGATTTGGGGGGAAATGTCTAATGGCTATTTTTCTGATCAAATGTTGTGAGTGTGATTTAAATTGCAACTATTCTTCCAAGGAGGAAACACCACTAGAGCTAAAGAATAAAATCTGTGTGATGTGAAAAAGCATCTGCACACTCAGATCTGTGCAAAGAATTTTGCAAAAATTCTGTGCGAAAAAGAAAAAAGATCTGAGTGATGCTTTTTCGCAGTTTTTTAATCAAAATTTTATTTTATTTTAAAAAAGTCCAGGTCTGTTATTTTTGGCAAAGAAATCCATAATATGCACATTTTCTCGCTTCAGGCTTGAACACTGAACGTAGTGCGCCAGAGTTAGCTGTGGTTGTGATGTCACAGCACATAGGTGTTGGGTTGCCTCTGATTGGTCAAACCCATCTACAGGCAGTTCACAAGTTCCATTTAATTGGGTTAAATTTCACCACTTAAAACTTAAGATGATGCTGTTAATAATACAGGCTGTAACTAAAATCACAGCTTATGTGATTTAAAAACTGCATTTTTTAAAATTTCAACATATAAATACTTCTTCAGCTCGAAATAGATAGATAGAGATAGATAAATAGATAGATAGAACTTTATTGATCATCTTAAGGGTTGAGTTCTGAAAACTGCCTGCTGTGTTTGTCATGTATATTTGTGTTTTGTATCTATATATTTATTGTATTGGACAATATTTGGCTTACAAAGACAGAGAGAATAGAGAATAAAGTCTGACAGTGAAATTAAGAGCGAGTGATAGAGAGATTAGTCTGGTTTGTAGAGCTATAAACCAGACAAACATCTCGGTGTTCAGCACTAACTTTGGGCACGGATGGTCCTCAGTCCGGGGCAGCGTGGGATCCTGGGACACATCGGCAATGATCTGTGTGAGCTCACTGTGGAAACACGTGACAGACAGTTTAAATGACCTAAATTCCAGCAAACATGCAATTAATATTCAGATCAGTGTTTACTATCAGTGTTTATAACACAAAATGGGAAGAACAGACAGAATTTAAACTGTACAGATTCCCGGGAATTAAAAAAAGCTCAGGTGTCAGATCACGGCTGTGTGATATGCAGGTAAGAGGGAGACACAACCTAACACACTTTGATTTTAGCTTAATAATTTAAAAAGGTGGGAAGTTTACTATTTTTATACAAACAACAAACGCCAGACAAAACCAGCAGGAGTGTAAACGCTAAAATTAACCCCACAGGCTGGTCAACTAACAAACTGAGGACTCCTCATTAAGCAATTAACCAATTAAGCTCCAGTACTTTTTTGGCCAAGAAAACCATGTTTTAATTTTTCTTGACCAAAAAAGTCCTCAGGCTTAATTGTTTACAAGCTCTGAGTCGTTAGGCTAAACCTCCCCTCTTAAAAAAGACACTCTGAATAACGCAGGACACGATTAAAATTGCAGTTCATACTGCCATTTCTACATAAAAATGATGAATCGTTCAGTTAGTTTGGACCCCTTTAATTCTAATCTTAGCGCTGAAGTGAACGTCAGGGCAGTGACGTTATTATCCGGGTCATCCAGTCAAATCCCTCACGGATTACATTACTGGACCTCCCCTGTCGATGCAGCTCTGACAGGGCCTTAAACTCAGTAATCAGTGTATAATTTACAGCATAAAAAGGTTCTTCAGGGTGAATCTGGGGAAACATCTGTCTGACTGCGGCCAAACTTCACAGATAACGATGCTACAGGAACACGAGAGACCCGAAGCCCGTTATACTCAATCCTGTTTAACTACATTAACTAGCCATGTTAACCTGTACCCATGTTAGGCTGCGTCCCGCACTTCTCTCTATATAAGGCATCACTTACTCCACTTCGTGGGTGATTTTGTTCACGTATATGCAGCTGTTGTCGGCCTCCTGCTGGTAGTCGCAGTTTCTGCACTAAAACAGACAGAAATAAAGCAGCTTTAGAACCGAACGGATTACAGACAGCACTGAGCTTAAGTGTTCTATGGTTACTCACAGCGTACAGCAGGATACGGTTCTCCTTGTCCTCTTTAGGGTACAACATGTTGTTACTGTAAAACAAAGAAATATGATGAAACGATGATGAATGGTGAGTCGTATTTACTACACACCAGTCAGTTATTACTGTACACGTTACACACAGAGTGGTCTGTGTTCAGACTGCAGACGAATCAGGTTCATTTCTCAAATCTGATCTTTTGAGTCGACTGTCCGCTCTGTTATCTGTAAGTGATCAGATCAGATCTGTGTGTCCAGACATCACCAGTATATCTGCATGGGTTGCCGTGGTAACGACGTAGGCGCCAGTAACTACGTAGCTACGCTGGTGACGCGGATTTCAGTCGCGGCTGCAGGAGAGATGGAGGAGCATCATCTCCCCTCCAAACTCCTCAGAACTCTCTTCATCATCATGAATCTCTGGAGCTCTTCTTCAATCCCAGAACTTCGTCGCTCTGGATTCAATATCGTCGCTGTTTGTCGTGTTGCGAGTGACGAAGACACTTTGAAATCTGATTTGAGCGTCCAGACTGAGACACATCAGCTTTGCTGTCCAAACTGTCAAAAAACAATCTGTATATGTCCGGTCAGATCTGGGCTGACAGTCTCAGATAAGCTCCAAATAAAGCGATGTTTAAATCCAGGTTAGAAGTATTTCTCTTTTCCTGTGTCTATGACTGAGATCACTGGAGGCTCCACCACTGTAAAGACATCTGAGCTGGTTTGTTCGTTTTTACAGTGAATCATTTTACATCAAACCGCTCTGAATAACATTGTTTACATCTCCATGATTGAAGCGTGCAGAAAACTTTAAAAAGTGGGTGAAAGTCCCCTTTAACTACTACACAGGGATTAACGGGATTGATGTGACTACAAACCCGCTAATCGCGTCTGTTATAACCCTGTAACTTAAACATCACTGAACCCCAAACCGCCGCTGAGCTCCAGTCAGTCACTATTAACCTTATTAACAGTATGAATGATGTAAACGGTGTAAACGGTGTGAATGTTGAGGAGATGTCGTGATAATCTCACCACTCCTGACAGAATCGGATCCCTACAAACCCGGGCTCGTATGTTCCGCTCTCTAAATCCATCACAGCTCTGACGAGTTTATACTTTACAACTACAAACACAGAAATGAGCTGATATTTCACGGTTAAATGACCGAAACAGCTCAATGTTTTGCAGCTAAGCTAACACCGTGTTTTCAGACGCGAAGGAGAACCCGTTGGAAGCCGCCGCGCATGCGCACTGATCAGAGGCAGCGGTGATAAGAGCGCCGCGGTGCGGTGGAGGACTGAACTACAGCACAGCGCTAAAACTGCTCATGTACTCACACCAGTTTAAAGGGGACTTCCACCGATTTTTCAAAAACATATCCATAATTCAGTGTGTGAGATGTAAACAGAGTGATCAGAGTGGTTTGGTGTGAAACGGTTCAGATGTCTTTACAGTGGTGGTGATAGGAACCAGGGGTCGCCATGACTACAACACAGATATAGACATTTTATTTACTATCCAGAACCACCAGTGAACCTACACGAGTCTTCTGAGTTTATATGGAATATTGATGATGGAAAATAGTGGAAAATCTGAAATAATAAGTTTTCTTTGGGGACTATTTTGCCTCACAGCGCCCTGCATGTATCCCTCCACCATGAATGGAGTTTAAGTTCTCTAAACTATCATAAAACAGTGTCTCAGTCATCAGGCAGTCAATTCATAACCATTTCATGTAGGAACTTTCTGTGAGGGAGCTTTTAGAGGTGGACGTCTGGTTCCTATCAGCACCACTGTGAACAGTTCTGACTCAGTAAGTTTATCTAGAACGGAGCGTTTCACACCAAACCACTCTGAACGACTCTGAATGATTCTGAACGATTCTGTTTACATCTCAACCATTTAATTATGCAGAATTTCCCCTTTAACGGGTGGCAGAAAGTGACAGTTTGCATAGTGGTGTCAGGTGTGGGAATAGTGGGAATTTGATGCTATACAACACAGTCAAACTCCTGTATACTGACAGTGAACTGCCCCCGCATGGCTGGGTTAGTGTTAAATCTTTTGCTTTGCCTAATGTATGTTGGAACAATGTAAATCATTAACCCTCCATTGCACAGTGTCGCCATATGGCAACGATTTCCCATCCACCCCCTTTAAATTTTAATTTCAAACATTATAATTATTTAAGTGATTTTAAATGATAAAAACACATTAAAACCTTTAAAATCATGTTTAAGTAAAACTCCATACAACAGAGGCCTAGAACTACTGCTGTGGGTTCTACTTAGCTGTATGTAAAAATGTTATTCCTAGTTAAATGTCTAAATATCACTTCATACCGTAAGTCTAATGTAGGGCTAATTCAGTTAGCTGTTATCTGCAGAACTGCATGTGTGAATATTATCTAGATTTATTGTTTACGTCAAATTCATGCCCTAATGTAGGCTGATCGTCGCAGGTGAGGGTCGGGCTACAGCCTCCCTGCTGTGTAAGGCGGAGCTGTGTGTCAGGATGGGAATATGGAATTCTGTAAAATGAGGATCATTTGTTTTTATTCCTCTTCTGTCATCCAGCAGCACAGCAACACATTTTCTGTGGTTATTCTGTGGATCTCGCCGGTTTCGCTCCACTTGTTTCTGTTTTTCTGCCACCTCGGTGTCCACACGACTGTCGGTGACGTAACCGTGACGTCCACTGACTGATCTGTAAACCGTTACCCATGAGGCCTTTTTCCCGTCTGGCTCATCTACAGGATAAACCTCATCGTTCTCACACAACACGCTCAGGAAAAATACTGTCCAATAAAACCCGAGTTAAAATGCTTTTCACGTCTATATAAATGATTTATCTGCATGAAACAGTTCAAATTCAGTTTTATGCGTGTGTCCATCAGCGCCGCTCTGTGTGAGGACATGGTGAGACACGCAGGACTAATAAACACAAACAAACACTGAGTGAGGAACACAACCTGCTCAGGCCTTCACACCGACACACTGGGCTGATTCCACCCTGCAGACACTCTGAGCTGCTAATGACTTTAAAGAGCCCATATTAAAGAGCCCATATTAAAGAGCCCTTATTAAAGAGCCCATATTAAAGAGCCCTTTATTAAAGAGCCCATATTAAAGAGCCCATATTAAAGAGCCCTTTATTAAAGAGCCCATATTAAAGAGCCCATATTAAAGAGCCCTTTATTAAAGAGCCCATATTAAAGAGCCCTTTATTAAAGAGCCCATATTAAAGAGCCCATATTAAAGAGCCCATATTAAAGAGCCCATATTAAAGAGCCCTTTATTAAAGAGCCCATATTGAAGAGCCCATATTAAAGAGCCCTTTATTAAAGAGCCCATATTAAAGAGCCCATATTAAAGAGCCCAAATTAAAGAGCCCTTTATTATAGAGCCCATATTAAAGAGCCCATATTAAAGAGCCCTTTATTAAAGAGCCCATATTAAAGAGCCCATATTAAAGAGCCCTTATTAAAGAGCCCTTTATTAAAGAGCCCTTTATTAAAGAGCCCTTTATTGAAGAGCGCTTTATTGAAGAGCCCATATTAAAGAGCCCTTTATTAAAGAGCCCATATTAAAGAGCCCATATTAAAGAGCTCTTTATTAAAGAGCCCAAATTGAAGAGCCCATATTGAAGAGCTCGTTATTAAAGAGCCCAGATAGAAGAGCCCATATTAAAGAGCTCTTTATTAAAGAGCCCAAATTGAAGAGCCCATATTAAAGAGCTCTTTATTAAAGAGCCCATATTGAAGAGCGCTTTATTGAAGAGCCCATTATTAAAGAGCCCTTTATTGAAGAGCGCATATTGAAGAGCCCATATTGAAGAGCGCATTATTAAAGAGCCCTTTATTAAAGAGCCCTTTATTGAAGAGCGCTTTATTAAAGAGCCCTTTATTAAAGAGCCCTTTATTAAAGAGCCCTTTATTAAAGAGCGCTTTATTGAAGAGCCCATATTAAAGAGCCCTTTATTAAAGAGCCCATATTGAAGAGCCCATATTGAAGAGCCCATATTGAAGAGCCCTTTATTAAAGAGCCCATATTGAAGAGCCCATATTAAAGAGCCCATATGGAAGAGCCCATATTGAAGAGCCAATATTATAGAGCCCATATTGAAGAGCCCATATTGAAGAGCGCATATTAAAGAGCCCTTTATTAAAGAGCCAATATTATAGAGCCCATATTAAAGAGCCCTTTATTAAAGAGCCCTTTGAAGACCCTATTAAAGAGCCCTTTATTGAAGAGCCCATATTGAAGAGGCCTTTATTAAAGAGCCCATATTGAAGAGCCCTTTATTAAAGAGCCAATATTAAAGAGCCCATTATTAAAGAGCCCTTTATTAAAGAGCCAATATTAAAGAGCCCATTATTAAAGAGCCCTTTATTGAAGAGCCCATATTAAAGAGCCCTTTATTGAAGAGCCCATATTGAAGAGGCCTTTATTAAAGAGCCCATATTGAAGAGCGCATATTGAAGAGCGCATATTAAAGAGCCCTTTATTAAAGAGCCAATATTATAGAGCCCATATTAAAGAGCCCTTTATTAAAGAGCCCATATTGAAGAGCGCATATTAAAGAGCCCTTTATTAAAGAGCCAATATTAAAGAGCCAATATTAAAGAGCCCATTATTAAAGAGCCCTTTATTAAAGAGCCAATATTAAAGAGCCCATTATTAAAGAGCCCTTTATCAAAGTGGACTTCAGCCCTTTATAGTGAAGACCCTTTAGTTTTGAGTGATATCAGCCCTTTAAAAAGTGAAGACCCTTTAGTTTTGCTTTAATGCATCTTCAAAGTCACTATAGAGGGTCAGCACTTCAAACACCACTTCATCTCATTTTAAAGCCCAGTTGTGTAAGAACCCATTTTTATGTTCTGCAGCTGTGTGATGGAGTAAATTCCCACAGAACCGAAGCTCTCGTCCTCAGGAAGAACATCACGCTGCTTGTAAAAGAGCACCGTTTAGCAATATGTTAGCAATATCTTAGCAGGCCGATGTCATTTTTATGGGGGCTGCAGGGAGCCTCGCCGCCTGTTGGCCCGCTGGGCTCACAGTGTTTACGATGCTGTTGTTGTGATGTTTATGTGGACGTGTTTTGATGACGAGCTCAGCAGAAATGAGCTTTAATGTTGTTGTTTGTTGCCACTTTATTTTGTTTTAATTCTCTATGATTTGAAGAGAGTAACGGCTGCTGTTCAGTGTTTACATGTATTTAAATAATAATCAATAAATCAATCAGATCTAAACATCTCACTCAAATGCAAATCATCTTAAAGGGACATTCCGCCAAATTTCCTTAATCTTCTGTATAATTAAATGGTTAAAATGTAAACAAAGTGAGTAGTTTTCAGTAATGCAAGTTTAGTATGTGAGTAGCTGCAGCACCATAACGGACCACCAGGTGGCCTCAGAGACTCATGAAATGAAAACAATTCATTTTTCATAATTCATTAAATGAAATAAAAATAAACATAAAATAAAACACTTGGAGCAGCATTTTCTTATATGGAAGGTGCTACAAAAATATTATTATTATTATTCTTTTGTTACATAATGACGGCTATAATTATATTGTAATATTGTATTGTAATGTAAAAACACTGTAAAGTTGGCAGATGTTTTTCAGGATTGTTTCTTAAGAAATATTCAATTAGATCATGGAATGAAGATAAAAAAGGGATAAAAATTAATTCATGTTTTTAAAAGTGTTCTCTAAGGGTTCTTTAGTAAAGACAATGGTTCTATATAGAACCATAAACACTCAAGAACCATTTGCATGATTAAGTGGTGAATTGGTTATTCAGGTTGATGGAGAACGGGTTGTATATGGTTCTATATAGCACAAAGAAGGGTTCTGCTTTTGTGACAAGCCTGACAGAAGAACCCATTTTGGTGCTACATGCAACACTTTCTCCATTAGTTTGGAGAACCATTTCACCATTTAATCATGCAAAGGGTTCTTTGAGTGTTCATGGTTCTACATAGAACCATTCACTTTACTGAAGAACCCTTGAAGAACCATCTTTTTTAGCAGTGTGGAAATGTGTGGTGGCTGAAGCTCCTCTGCTCAGCCTCTCTTCTCCTCCTGTAGTGGTTGATGAGCTGGTTTATGATCTGGAGAAAGTTCTGCAGCACAGATCCAAACTTTTATGAATGTTTTATGTCCATCGATCCTCACTGAGGGACTCTGGTTCTCAGTAACAGCTTACAAACTCTTTCTTCTGGTGATCCTCCAGAACAGTTTAC